ATCTTCCCCTTATGGGGAGCAGTGTATGTGTGTGTGTAAACTGCTTACTGGGGTAAAGACCCCCTTAAAGTGACAACATCCCAAGCCTGCTATTACAGGAAAATGTTCAGAGGTTGTACGTACCAAGAACAGAATTAAATGCCCCCTTTTTGTTGTTGTTACAGCTTGGTAAAAGAGAATGCATGCTGAAAGGACAAAACAGTAATCTGTGCAAGGAGCTGGCATCTTCCTTCCATAGACGCAGGAGTGTAAAGTAGCATGGAAACTGCAGGGTATGATCAGAGAGTTGCAGCAGATGGGATGTTGTGCTGGCTGACAGCTCAGGAGCACAAAATGAAAACTAAAAAACAGGTAGGATAAAATCCTAGATAATTTTGCACACTGAAGCAACTCTCATAGCTCAGGCATTTAAGGTAATGTTGTCAGGTGCTGCTAATAACTTCTTGGGCTAATGCAGTATGGAACTGCATAAAGTTCAGTGAAGAGACTTGCTACAGGTTGAGCTACAACATAAGCAGTAATACACTTATGGTTGTGACAAAGCTCAGGTTTCCTGAAATTGTGAGTCACTAGCTATGGCTGGCTGGCTGGCTAATAATGCCGAGTGTTACATCCTCTTAAACAAAATTTTGATATTTGAAGGGGCAGTCCCCATGCTTCCAAAGCAGGAGGAGAAATGCAGTGATTTAAGTGGAAGATACACAGTAAAATTCAGATATGACTGCCTTGGAGCATTTGCAGCTGGAAAGCCAGCAAGCCCTTGACAAAAAGTTTGTGAGTTATTTTTTTTTCTTCTGCAGAAGCTAAAGGATAATAGGATAATTTTAGCAATAGCATTTGGTATTTGGTTCTTGGGGTGGGTTTGTTTGGGTGTTTTGTTCTTTTTGTTTGGTGTTTTTTATATTAACCGTAGTTCTAGACTAAAACTTTAATGAGTTCCTTTACACAGTTCAGGAGGCTCATGAGAGAAGCCTAATACTAATGGCAAGATTGTATGTGCAAGTACAGTCAGGTTTCAAAGTTAACTGGCTTTGAGCAAATTGTTGTAGTGATAAACCATCTGCAAGACAAGGCAGTTTTCCTTGCATGGGAGCTGGAAGGGAGTGATGGGAAGGCTGCAAGCCTGGCTGGGCATTAGCGCTTTTGAGGAGCTAGATGCACACATATGTCTGGGAGGCAGTCTGCAGCATCAGAAATGCTCTTTGCAGTCTATTTTAAAAAAAGAAATATGGTTCAATTTCAAGTTTTCCAATCCTTTAATTGAAACTGTAACAAAAACTTAGTGATCTAATTTTCACTCTAGATAAGATGTGGGGAGGAGTGTGGAGAGGGAAGGAGCTGACTGCCAGAGTTTTGAAAGAAACCTTGAACAGAACCTTGCCCTACCCCCATTTGAGCCTGTTCAGAATTAGAGCAGTGGGGAAAGGTTCAGTATTCCAAGTTCTCCAATATTGGAATGTATCTGTAAATCAGTTTATGAAATGTTTGAATAGTTGATGAATGGATGTGGGGAGTCATTCAGATACTCAGAAGTAATGATGTGTTGAGGAATTCTACTTTTCAAGCTTTTTCAGACTTAATGTGAAAGCATACCATTTCCTGGGAAAAATAGTGGGTTCAGAATTGTGTAAAGGGTATCTGGAAATACTTCTCAGGTTCGTTTTCAATTTCAGGGGTTTGGAGTAAGGTGGTCTTGATGCATATTCACTCATGTCTAGCAGATGTTGGTAGTCTTAGTATTTGTGGGATTTTTTTTCCCAAAGATTGAAAAAAAAGATGGTAATTTACCATTTCATAAAGTGGGTTTTATATGAGGTGTGTTTTCACTACTGGTAATCTTAAGGCTACAGTTTATTGACTGTTCTCCTGTACAAAAGTGGCTATTGACACTGAGTTGTTCCTTAGCTGACTGGATGTAATTAGTCTTTTTTCCTAAAAGGAATATTATTTCTCATTATTCAAGATGAATTTGCTTTACTTATGAACTTTCTCTTTTTTACAGTGCTGTAGGTAAAACATGCCTACTCATCAGTTACACAACGAATGCATTTCCTGGAGAATATATACCTACTGTGTAAGTACTAACAAAACCCTAAGAACTCATTTATGTCACATTCTCTGTGCTTACTGCCAGCCCAGGTTCCTTATTTGAATTGTTTGAATTGGCTGCAGACACCCCTCAGTTTCATCTTAAATGCTTAACTGAGTATCTACATGTGTATTGTAAGGAGCAGCACTTCGAGCTTTTACTGCTCAGCACAGTCATACCAGGGCTGCTTCATGTCCTGTCAGTTTTGCCTCCATCTGCCCTCTAGCCCTAGCTTATTAGGGACTAACATTTTATCAGATGCTGTTCTCTTTTAAACTAACATTATTTCTGTCTTTAGTATCATCCATAATAAGTAGTCCCAAGACTGTGCAACTTGTAAAGCATTGTATCATAGCCAGAAGTAGTTGGTTTACATGACTAATTTTTTTCCATTTGTTCCTTCTACTTTCTGTGCTACTGCCAGTCTTGCGCTGAGCCAGCCACAGCTCTAGAGTTCCACAGGCAAGATTGCGGGGACTCATTTATTTTGGTGCTTCCCCTTTTCTTGCAAGTAATTATTTGTCAGTATCAGTATTAGTGTAGTTCTGTTTTCAAGGGCCTGTGTGGAGGAGGCGTTTTATACACGAGCAGCTTCTTTGCCCTTTTCAGATGTCTCTCTGTTTATCTGGCTATATTGTTCTCTGTGAGTATGGATGAATTTTTCAGACAACAGAACACGTTCTAATGAGATTTACAGATGATTTTTACTACCCTTCCAAGGAAGTGTTGTCTTGATTACTCCCATTTCCTTTTTTTTTTTTCTTTTTTTTTGTCAGATTAATTCAGATTTTTGCATTGCAGTATGCTTGTGTTCCCAGTGAGCTTAGTTTAGCCTCAACAAGTCATTAAGACCTTTGTGCTCACAGTGGCAATGAGATAAAAATGGTGCCTCTACTGGCCCCTGGTTATTAACTTTGATATTTCATTGGAGGGGGTTTTGGTTAGCAGCATTACCAAGTGTTTTGTTGTGCTTTTTCTTTTCTTACCTACTGTTGTTAGGAAGGATTCCTTGGTTGTTGCAAATCTGTCTTCTGTCTCTTACAAAATGAGACAGATTAACTTGGTGACTGTTCCACGAAGACTGGAAGGTACTTGCTGAGTATACCATCTGCTTTCCTGCACTTACTGAGATTAACACTTCCTTTAGAAGAGCAGTGAAAAAGATGACTTCTGTTCGGACTGGACCAAGTCTGTTTCGCACGTCTTTTTCTTCCATTACTCAGTACCAGGCTCAGTATTTAAAGAACAACTTTACTGTTTCTGGGGAGCAGAAGGATGCAGTAAAAATGTTCCCTTTCCTAGTGCTCCAAATTAGGACTCTGTAGGGAAAAAGTGCTTGGTGCCCTGTGTAATGCAAGCAAATGCAGCTAACTCTTCCTTTATTTTTTAGTTTTGACAACTACTCTGCTAATGTAATGGTCGATGGAAAACCGGTGAATCTAGGTTTGTGGGATACAGCTGGTCAAGAGGACTATGACAGGCTACGTCCACTCTCCTATCCGCAAACAGTAAGAACTACAGTGTGAAACTAGAAACAATCTATACAGCTTTGTCTAACCTAAAGGTTTTCTCTTTTTGAACATTAGGGAAAAGTTATCACTTCTGGAGATGTATTTTTTAGTAGCAGTGACTTGCTGCAAGCTATCTTCAATCTTTGTACAGTTGTACAAACATTAACATTTGCATGCTTGTGTATTTGCGTGCACCAGTACTTGTTGGCTTTTGTGTAGTTGCAGCCTCAGACTTGATTTAAACCAGGAAAAAACAAAAAAAAGCCAAACCAAGCCCCAAAACAACCCCCAAAACCCCTCAGTGAATAGTCTCATCAGCTAGTCCATTGATTTTAAGGTTAGCATGCCTGCCAAAAGCAGGGTTTGTTTTTGTTTTTAGGCACATGTTTGGCTGCAACCTGACACTGTCACTGCTAAGCACTTGATATTGTTAGTCTGTGAAGATTTCTAAATGTGAGAGGCAGAATGAATGAAGATACTATTGGGATTGACAGTGGCTGCATTAGAGCTTTCAAATGTACTTAAGACCATGGCTATTTTATTACTTACTGTAGCTTGTGCTATAACATCAATACAAATGTGCTTCTGTCTTCCATGCTTGCAACTGGTTAAGTCTGCATGCTGCATCCTTCCGTGTATAAGGAAAATGCTGAAGTAATCTGCTCTTTGCTGTTCAGTGCGACTCCAGCTACAGTTAATGTGTGCAGAACCTGGTTTTCTAGTCTGTTTAGAGCAGTTACTTTTATATGGTGGAGCTGTGCTATAAGAAAGATGATAATTTTCAGGGGGTTTGGCATTGATTATTGTTGTTGCTGTCAAATATACATTCAATGCTAATAGTGTAAAAAAGCAGAATTGTTCCAGTTACTCTACAGAATAACTGAGTAACTGCTCTCTTGAACAGTGTGACTCTTATTTAAGAAACTCTGGTGCTTTTTTGGTTTGGGTGTTGTTTTTTTTTTTTTTTTTAAGGAAACTGTCTTAATTCACGATTTTCCTTAACTCACTGATCACTAACGCTAACAATTAGGCTTTCCCCTCCATTACTATACCCAGGATAGATGTGAACTTGCCAGTTGTAGGCAGCTCTAGTAGAAATGCCAGAAATATCTGCCTTTCCTAGGAAGTGAGACAATGGAAAGCTGTTTTTCTTTAATACCTAGATCTTTACAGGCTATCTAAAATACGTCTCAGCATAGATAAAGTTATGATGAAAGATCACAAAGTAGTGTGAGAAAGCAGAGCTGTTCCTGCTGTATGACAGAGACAGAATGCTTGTGCCTGTTTTCAGCCTCCTAAAATAACAGTGGCTTTCTGATACACTGCAAAAGAATTCCTTGTCAATCTAAGCATACTTTTTGGGAAAAAAAAAATCTGTGCAAGCATGGGTAACTGTTAAGTAAAGGTCTGAAATACTTTGAGTTATTTGGATTGTTTCTTACAGCAGAAAGTGAAACAGGGTGGTAAGTCTTGGAACTCCTTATGAAGCAGCCTTCAGATGTTTGCCTTGTGCAATATGCAAGAATCATCATCACTTAAGGGACAGAACCCCCAAAATACTAAGGAAAAGTACAGGGGAGCAGAGCAGTAGAGCCAATGAAGCCTGACTTTTCTTAAGATCTGTGTTCAGCTTCCTTCTTCCTTCAGTGTGCTAATTAAAACCCACCCCTCACATTTTGGTGGCCCTCCGTTTCCCTGTATCTGCACCTGAGCTATGTTGTGGTTGAGGTGAAAGCAGGTTTTGCTGGGGACTTGGCCAATGTTTGTATCTCCATTAGCCTCCTGGCAGTTCAGCAGCTGTCGACTTCACATTAAGGACTTTGCTGTAGTGGAGGCATTAATTTGGGTCTTTTTCCATTATTATTATTTCCTCCCTTAAAATATTCAGGAGTTTAATACCTTCTCCTGATTGTATTTGAAATCTACCACTATTTCAAAATATTTGGGCAAGGAAGTTGGGGCAGAAAAGGTGGCTTCCTTGGGAGACCTAAAAGGAAATTAAGTTAGGAGGATGCTTTTTGTGAGAGGTTTCCTCTTGCGAGTGTCCTCTAACAATGAAGACAGACATTTACAGGTTTGCGGGGAAGTCTGGTGGCCTGTTCTGGATGGAGGCAGTTGGTTGTGCTGAATCACAGGGCAGTGTCTCCCTTGAGAAGAAAAGCTGTTTTGTGAGCATTTGTGAGCACAAATTGCTGACTGAGAACATTTCCCCTTAAATCCGTTTTAGGAGTAACTTTATCTCCTACTGTTATTAGGTTGGAGGAACCAATGGTAAGAATCTATCTTCCAGTCTGACAGATCAACCTATTGCCGTATGTAAAACTTTAAACTTCAGTTCCAAGTTCTGTCATCTTGTCTTGCTTATGATAGTGATAAATTGGCCCCTATTTTTTAAGCAACTACTTTTCTTGGAACTATTGCATTGCTGCAACTGAGAAATCCATTACCAAATCTCTCTATATGAGTTGCTAAGACCAAACCTTTACTTGGAAATAAATAACTTTTCTTCCTGCTTAAGATTGATAGTGTGCAAGACACAAGAAATCATGACTACACTGAAGCTAGTAAAAGAGAGTCTGCATAATGTGCAGAACTTCAGTCACCACAAACATGCAGATTGGAAAACAGAAGTAGTGGCCATAGTATCACGTTATTTGATGTTGTTTCTTTCTTCTTCTGGGACGCTGCTACGGAAACTTGTTGGGGTGATGCATGAACAACTGGGTTGCAAGTGCTTAGCAGTGCAGATGTCAGCTGCTGACCTAACAAAATGCCTTGAAATGCAGCACAATCAACTAACATTCTGAAATGCCTGATTCTGTAACGCATTTGATGCTGGGATAAGTATGGATGCAGAGGTAGGTTGGGGAAAGTTGGGCTTGTTTGAGAGATGCTGACTGAGTTTGGGGTCATTCAGCAAGATTACAGTCTTCATCAGCTTAGAGAAAAGTAATTTTGCGGTTATTCTGAATGCTTCCAGACAACAGTGTATACGAAGCTCATTGGTTTTTGAAGGGAGTTGGTATAAATGTGCTCTAAAATGTTTTTACCAGGTCTTATGATCTTTCTTTTGCCTTCAGTTGAAAAGTGAGATGTGCAAGATTCCTAACTTCTGAACCCACTTCTGAAGTTTTCAAGGCTCTTAATCCTAATCTTGTTACAGAGGAATTCTGAGATCTTTTTATATTGGCAGTCAGTAGAAGTGACAGTTGTGCAAGACTCTTCTGATTTGGACACAGAAATAATAATTGTAGAAGTTATTGTATGACTCTCTTATTCCATACTGTGTATTTTGCCATTGCAAAGACTGTAGTGTATTAATAGTATATTAATACTTAAAAAGGGGGTGTCAAGGGTTAACTCACTTAGAGGCCTGCAGAGAGTATCCAACCCCAGGTTAGAAGACAGTCTTGACTCTTCCTATGTTTGTGTGGTTTTGTTTTTTTTTTCTGAATGTCAGTGAAGGAGAAGGGACATCTAGGGGGGAAAAGAAGCTTGCAGTGCAATGCTGCTAGACTTGTAGTTGCTGGCTCCTGCAGTAGCTGATTGTAAACCTGACTACAGTGTATTTGTTGTTGGTTCTCCCCCTCCTTTTGTCTGCTTGTAGCTGCCTGGGAATGGATTTCCCACTGGGACAGCTGCCTCCAACTGTTATGTGCAAGTGTACTATTGACCTTGCTTTTTGCAAGTGTGGTGCAGCTGACAGGGTGGTACAGGTGTGGCTGGTATTGGCCTCTGCATGAGCTTTTACAATAGTTGCTCTGATGTGCTAACTTCTATCAACTTGTTTTGTAGGATGTCTTCTTAATTTGCTTTTCCCTTGTGAGTCCTGCTTCCTTTGAAAATGTCCGTGCTAAGGTGAGTAGAAGCTGGTATTTTATTTAAGCATTCAGCATACTGCTCACTTTGCAGCAGTGGCTGGAAAATAGGAAGTGATTTATTTTTGGCAGGCAAAGTTTGTGAACTATAGTCTGAAAAGTCAGAAATCCATTTGCCGAAGTCAGCCATGGTAGTTTAGGGCACATGAAATGCTATGAATTGTTCTCTGATACAGTGATAGATTAGTAGTAGTTTAAGAGTGTTCAGCTGGTGAGGTGCTGAGATCACAAACAGGAACTTCCCTTTTAATGCAATTTACAGAAAAATATTAAAACCCAAATGCATATAATAATGAGGTTGATACCACTAGTGTGCTGCTGCTGCTGTTGCAGTCTGTTCGTGTCTGTGGACAACTCAGCTGTATGGCACTGGGGAAACCTCACAAAGGACAGGTGGTCTCTGTCGGTGAGGGAAGTGCAGATCAGGGCTCTCTTGGTGTCTGGAGAAAATCCAGCCCTTGGTAGGGTGAGCTTTTAAAAAGTATATGGAAACGACCATTGGCTTCATTAGAAGTGTTTTGCAATTGTCTGCTCTTTTCTGATACTGCTTTGATGAGGTGTCGCATTCTCCCTTTCCTCTTTGACTCTGGAAAGTGTCATGAAGGGCTGGAAGCCCTTGTGGGAATCTGCCCCCCCAACCCACGCTGTTTCTTTGCAGTGGTATCCTGAGGTGCGGCACCATTGTCCCAACACTCCCATCATTTTAGTGGGCACCAAACTTGATCTCCGGGATGATAAGGACACTATTGAAAAACTGAAGGAGAAGAAGCTGACTCCCATCACCTACCCACAGGGCCTTGCAATGGCAAAAGAGATCGGTAGGATGGAAGCGGGGTTAATGTTGAGCTACACTTGGTTTGTGTTAGATGTACCTCAAAATAAGTGCCTGGCTTTTGTTGCAGTTAGCTTGCAGCAGTGCTGCTCTGACTGGGAAAGCTGCTTTGTAACAGCCTTTCTGCTTCCACAGGTGCAGTGAAATACCTCGAATGCTCAGCACTTACGCAGCGAGGCCTCAAGACAGTGTTTGATGAAGCCATCCGAGCAGTTCTGTGCCCCCCTCCTGTAAAGAAGAGGAAGAGAAAATGTCTGCTGCTGTAAACATTACCCTCCCCCACCCCACTCCAAACCCTGTGCTTTGCTCAGAACAATGGAGCATTCACACTCAATGCCAAGTTTTTCTGTTATAAATTAGTTCTTTTCCACAAATCCTTGAATCAATCAACAATTTCACAGTTTCCTTTTGTTTCAAGAATGACAGTTACCTTCTAAAAGCAAACTCCTGAAAAGACAAACGTATGTAAAGCCTTATTTTTAAAATCCTATTCTTGCTCAATTAAGTGTTGCCAAACTATCTGCTGAACTAAGTTGCGTTGTTGTGCTACGAACACTAAGCACTAAACCGTTTTTTAAAGATTCTTGAAGATGACTCTAATTTCTGGTAGGAAACGCAAAAATACTTTCTAGTTTTTCACAGTAAGTAGCAGTACCGGGTCATTAGTGAAACACTGCACTCGAATGTGGCTATTACTAAATGGTTCCTCAACCCACAGTCATTGCGCAGCGTCGTAGATCAGAACCAAGTTGCTGGCAATGACTGACACCCGTGAGTCACAGTGTAAAATGCTTTATCGTGGGTAAGGGCTTGGTTGCAATCTAGTTCTTGCTGCTGTGATCTAAAGAATAACTAACTATTTGTACTGAAGCGTATCTAGTCCTTTTGACAGCTTTGTGTTGTGATGGATAAAGGAAATAGTGGGTTGGATCAAATGATAGTGCCAGACAGTATTTCGACGCCGTACAGCTGACTTACACTACACTGCCAGGGTAGCTGAAACTGAACTGACTCTTAGTGCAGGTTAACACCGGTGCCTGCTGTCCCAGAGGAGCAGCAGTGGAAGAGAGGTTGATGTTCACAGGTAAATTCCGTTGAATTTCAAGTAGGGCATTTGTTTAGGTACAACTCCAAACCAGTCATTCCCACAACTGTTGTGTAGTAAATGCTTTTCTTGTAGGACCTCTTCTTACTGAGCAATATAACTTGTATTTTAAAACCTTTCTGATGATACACATTTGCCTCTTTCTTTTTTCTTTGTAGAGTAGAATGTTGAAGCATATCCTCCTTATTTTCCTGTTATCTCTGACTCAGTAAGTCATATGCTTTCTGAGGAGCTTTTACTCTATTAACTAGGTGTAAAAATCATGTGAAGCAGCTTTACACATTTTAGTAATTTTTGTATTTTAAACCTCTATAAACTACGAACTTTCTCACCTATCCCTCTTTGCAAGCTCTCCCCACTACTGTAATGTTACTAATGCAGACAAGTGTTCTTTATGTCACTACATGTACGTGTGCAGCATAGGCTGAGTAATGGTAACCTGGGTCTGTGAGGTTCTGTAAACTAGTGCTCATGTTCTGTACATTCTAAGCAGGCAGGAATATGATGTTGAACTACACCCTTTCAACCACTAAAGCAAAATTTACAAGTAAAAGTTGCGAAATTGTGAAGTTTTTACATTGATCTTTTGCTAATGCAATTAGCAGTATGTTTTGCATGTATGACTTAATAAATCCTTGAATCATATGTGTGGTAATATTTGAGTTTCTCAGCAAGTGTTCTCGTTCTTGCACCACTCTGTTTCAGAGTTGTTCTGTTCTGGCACCAGCAGGCTGGTGCAGTGCGCCACACTGGTGGTGTGAGGGGTGCCCTGATGTGAAGAACCAGAATTAAATACAGCAGTGGGCACCATTTCTTTGGAGGCCATGCATTATCCGTCGAGGTGGTAGTTAACGCCTGCATCTGCTTGTGCAGTGTTTTAAAGCTGCTGCCACCCAGCGGAAAAAAACACCCATTTCACCATATTGTGTACAAAGAGTGCTTTTCCTCTAAAACTGGGACTTGCTTTTAACAGCTGGTAGAATGATGGCTCTGTTTGTGTTTAAAAGCCTTGCATTTTAGCCTTTTAAAGTTACAGCTATGCTGTTGCATGTCAGGGCAGACAGCCTGCTGTGCTCCTGCTCACTCCAGGGGCACTGGGGGTGACTGCAGTACCCTGCTTGAGGAGGAATCATGTGCTTGGCCTTCACTGGTGGTGGTGCCTTACCTTGCTGCACAGCCTCTAGGCTCTCTGGACAGCTCTAACCTGGTAACTTTCATCTCACACCAGCATACCTCAATGTAATAAGACAAGTTTTTAGAGTGCATTTTATTTGTCTCCATATCAAGTATCACAGCAAGAACAGCCACGCAGTTTTCTCAAACACATCATATTAATTTTTTTCTTTTAAGTAAGAACTACTGCTGAGCCTTAAAAAAAGGGCTAAAATGGTTGCACGCTTAGAAACAAGGAATCCACTAAAAATCAGTATAACTGGTTATGTATTTTTGGCAGAATTGGGATCAGAGCTTTCAGCAGTCAGAGCTAGTGCTTAAGATGATGCCACTAGCTAAGATGAATAAAGGGTTGAGTTTTTTAAATCTTCTCATTAAGTAGTCCTAATAGGGGTTAGTTTAAAAAATCAATAAAAGTAGTTATGTGGCTCAACAAATACAAACAACAGATAAAAGAATATTGCACATGTATGTCCAAGCAGCATTTAACCATGCCACCCCCTGCCCCTGGGTGCTACCACAATCAGTAAGGAAAATAGTGCAATCAATGAGAACCACCCAGCGGGGCTGCCTGTTTCACCACAGTCTGTGCACCCTGACCTGCCCCAGACCTGCCCACTTACCCCCGCCAGCCGCTGTGCTGGGGCAGCTGCTCGTGCCCCGTGGGACTGCTGTCACTGAGCTCCTGCCATACTGCACCTCCAGGCTCCGCACAGGCTGGTCTCAGGCAGCAGCAGGATGTGACTGAAGCAGAACTGGATTTTTTTTACCATTTTTAAGGTCTGGCAGAGCTCTGCGCTCACCCACAGGCTCAGCTGTCCGCACACACACGCTTGCTCTGGTTGAGTACTCAACTGGCACCTTGGCTCTCGTGCTCCAGCATCCATAGGCTCAGCTGGGACGTGTCAGACCATCACGGTTTGTAAAAGCTCAACCTTCAGCACAAGTGCAGACTGCTTTAAATCAGCCTCCTGCCATGCAAGGTTGCTGCACAGCCAAGGGCATGAAGACCCTTGTTTATTTTATGCAATGTGAGAAAAAAGTTCTGAAATCCACACGGGTATGAAAGTGGAATGGTCCCTGAATACCTGAAACCTGCAGTGAAAACCCCCTCACCTTGGTGAACTATGGTTACACCACATTGGTGTTACATTCTCGTGCCTGACAAGAAATACATGATCTGTGTTCCTGAGACAGACTATTCAGTGCTTTGAGCACAACATCTGGCATGTGGTCTGTTATCATCTTGGGACTTATTAAAATGCTGCTGAAGACTGCTTCATTTGACCATCTTGCTGTGTATTTAGTCTCTGAAGAGCACCACCTAAAACAAAACACACCACAAATAAAACAGCCTGTTGGATCTGGTGCCAGTGCCAGGCCTGGAACTGACAAAACCTCGAGGCTTCTGCCCTTGCTCAGGGAAGAACCAGAATCTTTTCCCAAACAGCCACCATTCAGCCCTCCAGCACACAGCTGGAAATGCTACCTGTCCTGAAGGCAGAACACCACCAAATTACACAGTGCTTTAAACAGGGAAAGAACTGAGCAAATCATCCCACCCACAGAAACAGGCTACAGCCTAAGCAAAGGGTGTGAGCGGTTAAGCACTGCACAGCCACATAATTAATGTCAAATGTGGGGAGTAAGTCCCAGATGTACCAGTAGGAAACTGAACACTGGATTTAATGCTGCACATAGGATGTATTTAGGATTTTATTTTACAGAACAATACATGATAGGGGCTCTTGTGTGCTAGTCCAATTGAGAAAAAAACATGACCAACTGCTGTGCTGTGGAGTAAATAACAGGAAATGAACTCAAAGTAAATCAGAAGAGCAGCCATGGAGGAAACCTGCCAGGTCACAGGTGTTAAAGTATCTTAACTTGTAAAATCAGTACTAAAATTGTTCAACAGCAAAGATATGAAACAACATACATAAAATCCTAATCTACTGAAAGGGAGGAAAAAAAGGGATTTCTTCTCCAGCCCTTTTCTCTTTTTTCCCTTTGGTAGGATGGTTTTCTGCAACTTAACAGACATTCTTATTTCTGTTTCAGAGTGAAACAGGAGAGGATATCAAGTGCAGTCTAGCTTGTGGGCTGGTTCAGATTGCTTTGTCTAAAGGAAACCTAACATCAACAAATCTCGAATAAACCTGCTAAACACACCATTGCCCCAACACCACAACCCTCACCCTCCCAGCAGTTTCAGCTTTCCTGCTTTGTCCCACCTTCCTGCATCCACAAAAAAGCAGGCAAGAACAGAAAAGCAGAGGCTGCATGGGCACACTGGTTACTGTGGGGCTGGACCTCTCCTATCTGGCTGGGCCAGTATTATGGGCAGTATTTTGCCTCCTTCTCATCACCAATATTCCAGTGACTACTCAGCAACAAGGTATTTTGTCATCACTTCATTATTACCAGGACATAAGACTTCAAGATCTGCAGCCTGGGGCAGGAACTGCAGCATGCCAAAGCTGAGCTGAACAGTCTGGTTAAAATCACCACCTGAGCATGTGCAATATACAGGCAAAGAAAGGCACATGGGCACAAAGAGGAACAGTTTCCAGGGCTTGAAGTGAAATTGAAAGCAGCAGGGAGGCACAGAATGAAAACTGAAAGGATGGCTAATGATTGATAACCAAAGATGGGTACTGGAGATGCAGATGAGACACAGAGCTGGAAACACGTACTTTGAAAGTGAGAAGCAGCTTTAAGTAAATTTTAGGCAAACAGGACAGTGGTATTTGTTACTCTACTTACCTCCTAGAGCTGGATTCTTCTACAATATGGATAATCTTGCCAGGAAGATAGAGACGAGGATACTGTGGTGGCGAACTGAGGTGCGGTTCATCCTCAAGGGTGTTGTATGAAGGTGACCGATGAACCATTAAGCTCTCCTCAGCTAGAAGTGGCTGGGTGAGGGCATCTTGGTTTCTACCATCCAGTTCAGTTGGGAAGTTATCCGGGTCTCCTCCAAAGACTTCATACCAACACCCATGAAGCAAGATCTGGTACTGAATTCAGACAGAAACAGTCAAATTGAGGTTTGGCAACTCTTCAACTAACTTACTCCAGGTGGGCACTTGCACACACATCACCCGAAACTACAGTCAGAAGATTAAAAATGACTGCATGCACATGCTTCTCTAACTTTCCGACTGATAAAACCTTCTTACTGGATTTTCCCCACAGTAGTATATATTTCAGTAATAGCTAACCCAAGCCACTAGAAACACGACTGAAAACATGACATTCTTCACAAGTCGAATTACTCAGTGTGGATTCAGCTCTGCAGATGTAGGTTTTCTTGTACCTATAACTTCTAACTGTCCATTACCTTATTCTGTATTTACAACATCACCCAGGTCCTTTACATGACACCTCATCCTGGGATTACATGGACATCCCCTGGGTACAGCAGGTTTAGCTTTAGATATTCAGAAGTGGCAGTTTAGAATCTTTAAGCCACTCCTCTATATCTCCACCATCACCTGCCTCACACCACAATGATTCAGCACCTTCAAGACTCTGTTACTTACTAACAGTGAAAAGAAGAGGTAAGCAATTAACACAGAGAAATATTTGCTTTCCAAATGAATTCTGAAGGTAAAATCTAGGTAAACCCACTACTGATACTAAGTGGTTCTTCGAGTAAATAATCTTACTTATTTTGAATCATTTTAGCTGTTTTTTTTTCTCCCCATTTTCATTTTTTTAGGTTTCCTTATCAACAGAACTAGCGAACAGGTAATTTGGGGCCTTGGAAGTTGTGCACAGGTATCTTCCAGGTCTTGTTGAATCTTAATTTCCGACAAGACAGCTTTATACGATAAGAGACTAAAACAAATGTCACTGAATTAAGAAACAAACACTTCTGTTCCAAACCCTCATCATTAAGATCAAAAATACACACACCAAGTGTCAATTCATTAAAAGTGGGGCTGAACCGAGGTAGCAATTCCCCTGACTTCAACCAGAACTACATTTAGTTACCTTGGGTCTGTTGCAGTTTGCCACAATTCTCACTATCCGCCTCTTTAAATCCTCCATGTTGGGCATACTTAACCTGTTTAAACACAGAGAACAAGATAAAGCCAAGCCTGCCATCTTCTGCAATCTAACACATGCCTGAAAGGGCAATTTAAAAGTATTTCCACCTCACCTTGCCACAAGATCCTTTCCAACAATGACTGAAACAATGAAGCGCTTTGTGTAATCTGCAAGTGATTTGCTTTAACAAAAAAGAGACACATTTTAGCTACACTAAAGGTATGCACACTTCAGTTTTATAATGATAAATTATAATTCAGCAAAAACACAATTATGAAGCAACAGCAGCAGCATCTGCAGCCAGTTCTTCGGTACGCTTTCAGAGCTACCTGCTACAGATGACAGAGTAACTTCAGTGCCGATTATAATGGTATGTGTAGATGTTACAGGCCAAGATAGGTGAGTCAGGTGATCATTTTATTTCCCAAACTTTTAATTTAAACTCTAATTATACTACCTGATAGTACACAACATTCACTAGATACATTTCATTCTGTAATATTCCTCCAAGAACTTGACTGTAACTCAGGATGGAGCAAATCCAGTTCTAGTGGAGAATATATAAACAAACTCTGAACAGAGAGAGTTATCATCTAACGGGTTTGTCAACTACCTTGAAAACATTTTTACATCTGAGACACAGAACCAAGTCATGCAAGTTTCTTACCTTAACAGTCCTCCTGGGGGAGAAAAGGCATAACACCTTAATGTTGGGAAAGAGTTCCTGAGCATGATCGCCAGTATAGAAGCCGTTCCACCACCCAAACTGTGACCAACTATCACAAGTTTATATTCCTATAGACAGAGACAGAAGACCGAAGTATAGACAGACACAGAAAAAGCTACGTGTAATTTTTGTGTCAAACCAAATTATTTAGAAGATAACTTACCGGAGCAATTGTGAAAGCCTGGTTTAAAATTCCATCATTTATTAGCTTTTGGTAGATGTAGTTTGCAGCTTGAGTTATTCCCTACAAGACAGCATTCGAAGTTAGACGGATATATCTAATCAGAAGTGTGAGACATATACACTTCAAATACAACACCATCACAGAGCAACTTCCCTTTTGCAAAGCTGATCTTCTCTTTCTCATGCTCCTGACAAAGGTCTAGTTACAACCAAATGATCTTATATGTAATGGCTAAAAAAGTTTTTAGAACATTTAATATGGACATGGAGTCTGACAAGAGGATTACAAATTCTACCTTGCAGTTCCAGAGGCAGTATGTGATGCCACAACCAAGTCACTGAAATAATTTTGTAATCCAGCTCACAAGATTATTCCTGTGTTTAACTAAAGGATCCCAGGTGCTCACAGATTCCTTACTGCTGAGATGATCTATCCACAGCCACAGACTGCACACACCTTATGCACAAAGCCATTCTCTAGAACATCCTCCAGTGTCAAGTCTTCACAATCTGCTGACAGATCAGTGAGAATGTCCTGCGAACAAGACAGCTTTCGTCAGACCTCACTGCAGGGCTTCATGGCTCATGCTCTGCTTGCCAGCACTGTCACAGGGACATCAACAGCCTGACTTACAAGTGTGTAAGCAACAGAACACAGTCCCCTATAAAGCACCACCCAAGCAAATACAGCCATCACAGTCCTGATTTCAGCAACTATTTCCAAGCTGCAAACACAAGCACTACAAATGCACCTCTGCTTACAGAGGAATTACCACCACCCACCCTTCACACTCTCTTCCAGTGGCACAGGAATATTACCCATCCAAGGACAGGAGGGCTTACAACTTAAGCATGGAAGACTCACACCTGTGAGCGAGTTATTCTTAAATGTGCCAGTGTAAGACAATTTACTCTCGTTACTGGGAGTTCACCCCTTTCTATAAAGTTGATTATTTCTATCAGATGGATGATACCTCAAAAGACAAGGTTCCTCTCACTGCAACCACAATAGCTTCTTTTTTGTGATCCAAAGCAACAAAAAATGGAATCTCATAGATCTGGAGAGGAATAAATGTAATAATTAAAGACACCAAGTTTTTGTAAGAGTAAGCATTTGTTCTCACCTTCTGAAAGCTCCCTTTCTGAGCTCTCCATTGTGTTATGGAAAGAAGCTGAATTACTTACTTATCCCGTTACCTTAAGTGTCTTTTTTGCAATACTGACACAGATTTATGTCAATGATTTTGTGGTTGTTCCTTTAGATTAGAAAAACAAACAAACCCAAAACCAGAACCAAAAGTTTCAGGGCCTGTTTTCATTTGGCTTTGATTCTCACACCTTATAAATGCTAAAGGCAAACAAGAAACTTCACCCATTGCTTTCCCTGAATTAATCACTAAGTGTTTTTGCTGAATGCCTGTGCAGACTGTTTACCTTGTTATGAAAACTGATATGAATGAAGTCTCTGTACTGCAGTCCTGTTATTCTTAGGATGGATCCAAAGTGAAAGTTATGATGATCACTGCCGGTTATATCAGAATCTGTTGTTCTATTTCTGCAACTAACAAACACACAGAAGAGAAAAACTTTCATGCTCCAATTTTTTATGCTTCCTTTCAAGGAATCAAACTTAGTTACTTTTGCAAAAAGATTTCTGCCAGGAATCAAAAGCTCTTTTTGGTTTGGTTTCACAATAACACCATTAGCCTGATACAAGATGTTACCTCTGCCCACCAACCTGGTTTTGCCTGAGCAGCATGCCACACATTTTAAGTTCAAGGACTGGCAAACACACCGTTGCTACAAGACTATCCGCAGAGCAAACAATGCAATAAGAAAAGAATTCTTAAGACTACAGGCCAATGACAGAAAATACAAACAACCAAAAAGGAAATTCAATACAAGTTCTGTACATCAGGCTTATCTCTTGTATCCATCTTACTATGTGGTGATTTTGTTGCAAGTCATTTATATTTCAGGATGTTGTATTTCTATTTCACATTTCTAATTAACAGAATCATGGTTACAGTCACAATTGTCAGTGGTCACTTAAATATACAGTAATCCTACACAGCATTACACATATTTCAATACAACTATGAACTTTTTTTTGAGTAAAGGAGGCAAGGGGAATAAAATGGAGGCTGGAGGGACAGGCAACTTTGCTAATGCCTTCAAGACAGGGAGAACTGTTGATACACTTTTATTTCTATACATATATATGTGTGCAAAAAGCGGCTCTAAAAAGCTGCATTTTAAACCATATTTGGTTTAATTTCAATTAAAAAAATAAGCTAACCTTTTTCTGAGGGTGGAAAGATGCTGGAATTTTGTTTCTACAGAATCTGTGAAAGATAACTCTACCAGTCAAGCTCACGTACTCCCAAGAGCAATATAATTTAATGCCACAAAAATACTGCTATTGAAACTATTTCATTTCTGCTAACGCTAGCTAAATACAAGGAAGCCATGTGTCTTAAGCTCTTGATCAAACCTACCAGTCACCATTGAGCTTACAGAGTGCAGTAAATGGGTTGGTGTATACGTAATAGGGCCAGCCATAAGCAGCCGCGGCAAACAGCATATAGTGAGCAGCATTCTCCAGTTCAGCATCCAAATCATCTGTCTGAAAGGACACAGGGAAAGAAAAGGAAAGAGAGAGAGGAAGAAAGGTGTGTCAGGCAGCCCCAGAATAAAACCTGAACACAGACTAATGGAAATGAAGCCCCAGTGAAATACACACTATCCAAAAGGAAAACCTCGAGGTCAAAGAGGAACTAAAATTAGCCACTCATATTCCGGGAAAAAGTCTGTGTTTGTTTACATGGCTATAGAGCTCAGGAATCTTGAAATGCTCCTATTAAATCTGTTTCTTCCAGTACTTACGCACTGATCAGCCCAATACTGAAAACAACATTCACTCCAAGTATGTTACTTAAGGATGTCAAAAGAATAACTAAAGAGTCTGTGGCAGATCTCTTTGGCAAAGACTTCTAGAGCATGATCCCATCGTACTGGCTGGATTCAAAGGGAAGTTGACAGTAATGCACTTCTTGAAGTAGAATTATATACTTCTATGAAACACAGGCCAAAAGAAGGTAAAATAACTTACAAAGGCATTTTACTACAGAAGACTAGCAAAAATCAATTGGCAAACTGTAACCCATCATCTGCAAACATTTTAAAGCTGCTACTTTTGTTTCTTACTTTGTCTTGTTATTTGCAGCAGGCATAATTTAAACAGACCATAATACTAAAAGGCTAGCTTTTCAGTTCTATGCAAATAGTACTAAACATGAAATTTTCTCTTTTCCCTTTCTCTCCTGGCTCTTCAACAATGATCACATGTCCTAAATGGTTCTTTTTTGCTGTTAATTCCCCATTAGTTGTCCAAAAGCAGACAACTATTTTGATTGCACACCCATCAAGATGTTTTCACTGCGTTTATTAATAATTTAAATTGTGGACTTTTATAGTAGTGTTTAATTTTCTTTAAAAAAAAAACCCAAAACATAAAAACCCTTGCACCAAGAACTGCATTTCAATTTGACCTGGCACCATCTCCTAGAGTAATTACCAGAGGCTGCAAAAATCCTATCTTACCACAAGAGATGATGGAGAATGACACAGGACTTCTTCAGGCTCTTTTGGGCAACTTTCCATTTTATCCTGCTCTTGGTGGAGCAGAGTCAAACCAGCTGCTATGTCACTTGGCACCAGATCAGTGTCCTGTACAAAGAAATGAAAGAGCGCTTAAAACCACCCCACACCTCAGAAATGGCAAAACCACCTCACAGGAAAATGCACACGGAATTTCTTCAGTTTATAAAGAAATACAGTGTGCACTGAAAACACAAGTCACAGCAGCATCCAATCTCCCACCCCTTCTGTACATACTGGGTATTTTTATTCAGTAAGACTGATGACTTCTACCTATGATTTTCATCACTTAACAAAATACCAAGTAAAAGGTATTTTTTTCAGCTGAGGACATGCTCAGCCATATAGCAAGTGTTACTGATCACTGTTCTACATCACTGTGTAGAACACCGTGTAGAACTGAACACCCTGTGTGAAAAGTCCTCTACACTGAGAACAACTGAAAGGGATTTTACACAGGAGAAGGCTGAAGGGTTTATATTGAACTATCTGGGTCAGACATCTCGCCACAGTACTCACACCCTTTACCCTATAAGACACTGAGTAGGTTGTTGCTATAATCCATATGCCCAAGTACTTCTTAATAAACAAGAACTACTAGTCTTGAAATCATGGACAGATTTCAAAGTCAACACTGAACTACGACTGCCCAAGCAGTAAGTGACACAAATTTGAGCTGAATCAACATGATGCAGACTCCAATTTGGCAGATGCTGTTGCCAAAAAGCAGCTTCTGGCATGTGCACGCTGTAGTCTGGCACGTGCTCGAAGTGGCTTAAAATGGGAAGACTTTCAAAACATACTGTGGGGCTCATTCTTTAACAGTCAGAAAGTAGTCAGATTATTTGTCGTAAATATGACTCCTTACTCATCATCAACAGGAAAAATGCCTGGATCTTCACAAATTGAGGAAAATAAACTCACCCTTGTTCTCCTGACTAGAAAGATACCTAAGAAAGAAGAATACTCTTTTCCCACAGCCCTTCATGCTTGTAAAGGGAGAGAAACCTTTGTTAAAGGGAGGGGAAAATCAGTGTTGTATACACTGCATGAGAATCACCTTTAATTTTGAAACGGACATATTCAAAACCTGATTTGAAGGCACAGGGACCTCTGGCTGACCAAAGGCACATGTGTGTTGCAAGGTTTGCAAATTCAGTTAGTCAAAAGAGAACATAAATAAAGCTTTCCATCTTACCGAAAAGTAGGTGCGGAAAAGCTCTGCGATACTTGTAAAAGCCACTCGATGGTCATCATCTTGCACAATGCAGCAGCACAGTAACCTGATTCTTTTTTCCCAGACCCTGGTGGCAGTGTTCTTCACATTGTACAGCAACTGCCCTGACTGACTGCTCTCCAGGTTCCGACTGACACTATTGGTGAGGTAAAATGTCTTTTTCCCCCCAAGCGGATCAAAGACGATTACAACTCCAATGATTGTAAAGATGATGATAACCCAGCTGCAAAACAGAAGGAAGTGGGATAAAAAAAGGCTGTGAAACCAGATACTGACAAGAAAACACAACTGTAGCTCTTAACAGACAGAAAACTTATTTGGGTATGAACACCATCTGCTACTGTCTTATGGGTGCATGCTTTGTTATCAGGCTTTCAATCCACCAGGCACATGAACAAGGCTGTCAGTTTATTTCACACAGGGCACCAAACTCAAAATCACAGCCCTGTGCTTTGGAAATAGCAACCCAGAGGTGTGATGGCTCCACTTGTCACTACCAGTGAAGAGATATAGCTACAACCCTCTTCACATTTATCCAGTTTTCTACATTCCCATCTATCCCTCTTACTCTTTCTGATCTTCACCTCCCTTCCATTACTCTAGCGAATGCTCTCTCCAGGCAAGTAGCTAAAGCTGATTTAGGGAAGGGTACCAACTCATTCTAGCTGTCCAGATTCAAAAATTCTTCTCCTTTTACAATGAAAACTCTTCTATGAGAAACCACAATAATTTACAAGATACCAAAGTCTCCCACTGCTGGAAAAGTCTTCAATAAACATGTACAAAACCCACATCAGCAGTATTTTCCATTTCATATACACTATCAAGCCTGGATCTGGGTGAAGGAACCTTTACCTTGCAATAACTGTCCCCATGATGACATTTATCACAGTCTTCTCACACTGCACACTGCTGTCTGACACCCATACAGCTCCTACAACAGCCCAGATGAATTCAGGAAAATAGAGAAGTAGGCGAGCATAAAGTAGCTTGGGAAGTGATTTTCTTGGACCTGGATTAGAAATTGTTCCTGAAATCACAGGGAGAATTTAAAACAAAAACTGTCTATGACCACATCTTAAGTACACAAAATCCTACCTGAATATCTGAGCTTTCCAGAAAGAAATTTAACTGAAAATACAAAGTATTTTCATAGTCAATGCAAAGTTATTACTGAAGCTGAGAAAAGAAAAACAATGGATTTATCTATGTGGTTCTTTCGAGCTCCTCTACTGATGCCTAAAACTTACTCTCTAGGCAGAACCAGTTCTGCAGCAAATGTGAGGCAGCAGTGCTGTGCCCAGCATACACCAAAGTGGCACGCTTGGAGTGCTGGCTCATGTACAGTTCCTTTTCACTTCTGGTGTCTGCTTTTATTATTATTCTATTTAGCTTTCAGTTGCCCGAGTATTTCATTTTCAGATGCTGTTTTGCTGGGCCACAATATACTTCTGCCAGGTCACTAAATAATGAATTAATTTACGTTTTGATTTAGCAGAATGAAAGTAGGACCATTACCAGCAGAAATATTTCTTAGACTGTTTTCTGTATCAGCAGCTTAATAATGTCTTCCTTTTAGTACTCTCAGGCAATAAGAAAGGGAGTAATTTTTGGACAGCTCAGCTCCTTAAACCACTTTGTTGATCACAGGGTAATCAGATGGTGGGTATGTGTGCGCATGTGTAGGCAGGATAATTTGTAAAGGCTTAAACCAGAGCAGAACAAAAGAGACTAATTGTAAAGCTGTGGCTCACACCCAGTGACAAAGCTGTTTAAAAATCCCTTGATCCAGTGGTAACTTATTCCCATTCCCAGATTGCTGCCTGTTATGCAGCAGCATGGTTGCTTACGGAGACACAATCAGACAGAACTGTGATTCCTGAAAACAACTTCTTTCCTTTCCCAGCACCACAACCCAGTGTACGAGTTCTCCGGTCAGGTTCACCACTTCCATCACTAATGCCCACGTCAGTGCACTGCAAGGGGTCATGCAAAAACCACTGCTCCCAAACCCTCACATTATAACCAGGCCAAGACATCTCACCATTTTCTTGGAAATTCAGCCTCAGAATTCTTCCATGTCTTAGTTCTAATGGCCTTGTAGCTGTATATATATAGAAAATGAGGCTCTTTTCTCACTGCTATTTACAGTTACTTCTCCCGCCTCCTCAACTTTGACATAAATGTAAGGATCATAGCTTGGCTAATCCTCCTTTCCCTCCTCTGGAAACTGTAGGAAAACCAGTGGTTAGATTCAAGGCCAGGATTATCATCCACATCCCTGCTCTGTCATAGTTTCTCTTGATGCTTCCTCCCACTTAAATAATTTAAATACTTTTATTTACAGTGTGTTTTGAGAACCAGTATATTAGAAATTGTGGGGTCTTGTCTGTTACTGCAGAGACCACATACGTATTCTGAATTAATCTCACATTACTTTGATAATGAGCTGCCTCACCAGGAAAAAAGCTCCCTACTGTTTTTTAGCTCAAAATGAACATTTCTACAAATGACTAAAGTTGCACTGTGTTCCTTACTCTTCACTTACTTGAAGTGAATGTTTAGCCATTCACTTCAAGCTGTAAGCTGTGTTCTATTTAACAGTACTTACTGAGTTACTTGCACTATGACATGCACACAGATTCCTTTCCTATGTGTTTTCCCCCAGGCTTCACTGCAGCTACTGATCTTTAACAAGTCATGACAATATCTACCTATGCAAGGCAAAGCTAACAAGACATTTTGGATGAGAAAATTATTTTGGATAATTTCCCCTGAATTCCTGTTGGAGAGGCTGAACAGTGTTCTGTCTGAGGTCATGTATTGATGGTGAATGCATAGGAAGGTTTCAAGGTGCTTTGATGACTGAACATATCACCATTAACTGCACTAACCTGTTGTGTCCACTTATGTTAGATTCCTGACTAACAGAGGCAAAACTAATACAGAAAATACATTGATACTGACAGTTTCTCAAGTTTGACTACCATTAAAGTACTTGAATTTTATTTCATTTTTAATGTCAACCACAGATTAAAAAAGCATATATGCTACAATCCTACTAGAGTAATATAAACTATTAACTATTTACCTTGCATACTGATGTATACAAGAGCAGATAACGCACATATTATAGCAGCCAGGAGAGCGAGGAGGACAAGCAAGTAGCTGTGCAGCAATCCTCCCCCAGGACAGTTAAACCGCCCCTTGTGAACCGCATAAAGAGCAAGAATTCCAATCCACCTACAGGAAAGTAAGATAACAGAGTTCTAGTTGGAACCGTACAAACCGCACAGCGATCACCTGATAAAGTCTTCATCTTGATGACAGCATCCCGCAAAGATTAACAGAAAGGGAGCTGTTACATTAGGACTCTGTCGGGATGAAAGGCCTAAAGGGATGCTCAACAGTAATTACAACTGAGCAGAAGTCGCTGCAGACCGAGAAACGCTCTCTGTGGTGCGCTACTCACTGCCGCAGGTGCCAGACAACCTGGGCTGATCTCGACAAAGGAAGGAATCACCGTATTAACTCTGACAGGACGAAACCACGTTCACACCAGTCACGGCTTAAACACAACCCAGCAGTTTCGGTTCCGCGCACAGCACACACGCGGTAACGCCGCGCTGGGCCGTTACGTCAGCCCAGGGGCTCTACCCCCAGCCGCCGCGTCCTCCGCGCCGACCCACGCTGCAGCTGAGGACCAAGCGCCGCCACCACAGCGCCTCAGGCGGAGGCGCCCTGCCGCGGGGAAGCGGCCGACAAGCGGCCACCGAGGCTGCCCCGGCCCCGCTGGCGGAGGTAGCGGCCGCGCTCGTCGCCTTACCACAGCAGCCTGACGAAGAGCTCGAAGGCCCCCGGGAGGACGAAGTCGTCGCTGCCGATGGCCCAGCGCCTGCCGAACACCACCAGCCCCGGCATCCCGCCGCCGCGTCAGGGGCACCCGAGCACCTGAACCGGCCCCCAGCCCGCGGCCCGCAACGCCCGGTCCTCCCGCAGGCCACACCGCCCCCTCGGGACAAGCGCGACTTCACGGGAGAGCGACGTCATCACGCAACACACGGCGCCCTACGTTGACCGGTGGACGTATCCCACCTCAAACTCGATTGGGCCAGGGCGCGCATGCGCTCTGGGAGGATCCGCCTTTCCCGCCGCCAGCCCCGCCTACGGCGCATGTGCGGAGGGCCCGGCCGAGCGGGGCGCTGTGGGAGCGGGAGCGCTCGGCGGTGAGGATTAACCCCGTGCCGAGCTCCGGCACACCCGCAGGCTGCACCCCCAGCACCGCGGGGCGCAAGCACAACAGCCTCTGCAGGGGGAGGCCACGGAGCTGGGCGGCCTTAAGAGGCCCTGCTGCCTTCTCCCTCAAGCTCCTTCCGCTCAGTGGCGAGCACGTACACAGTGGTGAGGACAGCGCGGCTAACTAAAGTACAAAGACAACAGCGTGGAAGAAAATAACCTACCGTGATCCTGAAGGGTTCTCTCACGCTAACAGGCGCTTACCTCGTATAGCCCTCTGGCTACAGCTCAGATCAGGCTCTTCTATTTCATCACAGCGACGGACCTTGGTTTCAAGCAACTCCAGACAGCAACGAGACACTGGTATCTCCAAGCTACAAAGGAACTGCAGCACCTTGGCACACACACTCTACAAATAAAAACCACTATTCAAATGTTGGGTTAGGATAACTACCACTAATTACAGGGATAATTATGGTAAACAAGTTACAGAAATGATTTATTGAAAATAAAACCAACCACAAAAAATATCTACTTCACCTGCACCAGGCTGGAGCTTAAGCTATTTCAAGACAGTGACCATCGCTTCATCCCATGACAATGTCCCTCACAGCCTTAAAGAATTCATATTTCAATATAGCAAACACTGACATTAAGCAGCTCATCCTTGCTGCAACTTCTCATCTTGTCTCAGTCCAATAGGAAACTTTAATTCACAAATATATGTATATAAAAAATAAAGACTCCAAAACATTTTCACCATTTCATAAAGTGTTTATTGAGGATGGTAACACAGGATAAATCATGCAACAGCTCAGTAAAAAAAGGGAATCATTTAAAGGATAAAGAATGGAAACTGGTGCTGCTGATTTTGAGAAGTTTATAAAAAAAATTAATTGTCCAAAAGTGACATCAAAAACCACGTGAAGCTGAACATGGAAGCTGCTTATAAAGCATTCATTAAGAGGAAAATGTAGACACTGTTTAAAATGATCACCTACAGATTACTGTAATCAGCAACTTACACGTCTCCCGTTTGTATAGCTGTAATGTTGTAGCCGGGCTGCACGTCTTAGATATTTAACCTTCTGTTCCTGAACAAAGAACACAGTCACACACATTTGCCACTGAGCAACACAACCCCATCTCTTATCCTTCATGACCTGTGCTGCCGAGTGCATTCATTATTGGGATTGCCTTCTCAAAGATCGTGGCGAAACAGGAACGGGTCCATCCTTGTGATCTCCAGAGATTTCCTTACTGCCCTCTTGCCATCAGCCTGTTTCAGGAGGGGAACAACTAGAAAATGGGACTGCTCCCCTTCTGGCACCAACATTTATTTTAAATAAGGAACCCCATGTCAGCAGATGGCACAAAGACTGGGCACCAGCACATCACATCAACATCGGTGGTTTCAGATTTAGAGTTGACATATATTCACCTTTTGGAAAAAAATAAATATAGTGGAATGAAAACTGAATCAAAGGGAAAGAACAAATGACTACCATCCATCAAGGATGCACACACCTGTGCAATGGAGACAAAAACAAAAATAAACCCCCAGTCATTTCAAAGAAATTCTTGAAAATTAAAAAAAAAAAAAAAAAACCCAAAAAAAAAAGAAAAAAGAAAAAAAAAAGTTTGCACTTGTTCCTGGTCATAAACAATCTCACAAAAATCTCACTTTTGGAACTATTCCAATTGAAACCATACACTGAATTTATTAATACAGTATAAGTTTCTTTATGTAAAAAATCTTTATACATAGTAATAAAAAAGATAAAGGCAAGATGCATCAAACAGAAATCTGCTGGTTGTTTTTCCTCCGTTCTTACAGAGCCGCTGATGACTACCTGCACTAGAAAGAGCTGTGTTTCTGACTTTCTGTCTCAAGCATCTTCGCCTTTGCTTGTGATAAGGATTGTTCTGTCCAAGCATCCAAAAGGACAGATGCTGGTGATGGTTTTTTTTGGCACTTACGCTGGCAAACTGAGCTTCTTTCCCTTGAGTACTGTAAGGAAAAGTAGGAAAGGAAAGAGTTAGCAAACCAAAGATGTGCTCTAGGAGAAGCACATAATATGAAAGCTTCAGAGGGAGCAAAACTTGTCACAGAGTCACTTCATTAAAACTGGGTACACTGCAGAGAGTCCTCCCAAGCTTATCTCTCCAATACATACTGGCAAAATATTCCAATCCTGCCCTCTTGTGGCACCCTGAATTATCATTCTGCATCCCCAGAGCACACACTAGCCTATGACCCTGGTTTCTTACGAGTTAACTGAAGTAACACAGCCCCATACAGTTTTGCAGTTGTATGATGGAAGTTGTAATGCAAATAAGGGCAGGATAATTAACACATCCAACAGAAATGACTGCTTCTACACTTAAAGAGAAACATCCAAGCCCTTTTGAGCTCTTTAAGGTATTTAAAACCCCAAGCGAGGATTCTATAAGCATGGAAATCTGCACAAAACAGGAAATGTCCCCTGGAGAAGGATGAGGATCATGCTTATTGATGGAAGACAACAACAACATGCATTGAGCTATACTTAAACTTGTCAATTATGTTCATCAGACCATTTGTACATTTATATTCTATCCATATTCACATACAGCCCTCGGAAATGCCCCACACTAGCAGAAAGTGTATTTATCAAGGAGATTTCAGCAGTAATTTGCACACAGGATTACCATCCTAGTAATGTTGATACATCAGATCTCTACAAACATGTTAACTGCTACATTCCACAACCTGAAGCTAGAAGTTATTGCACTTACTTACCTTTTGTAACATACAAATAGAAGAAGTCACAGTAAAGAACGGTCTGGACCACACCAGCAACAACAGCTATGAGGTCAAAAAATCCCTCAAAATAGTAGCGCCAAATCCAGTTGACTAAGTACAAGGCACGGTACAGGCCCAAGAAGAAAAGATAGTGAGTAGTGATGGTCTCTGCTTCCCCAGTTTTGCTGATCATAAAAAGTTGAGGGAGAATAGCAACCGATTCAAGATAGATGGAGAAGGTCCACAGTATCTGAAAACAAAACCAAGCCACAGGTATATTCAACTGTCTCACTGATAACAGCACAGAAGGTATTTGACTTGGCTTGACTCTTCACCCTCTAACAGTATTACAAACAGGTACAGTATTTTTGCAAACTATCCTTCCTGGTACAGGAAAAACTAAGTGAAAGCTTCATAATCAACCTTGGGACGGTACTAGGGAACAACTGTCTTGGCAGGCAACACTCTCCAAACCAGCTGTCTAGCACGCTGGCAGGTGCAGGCTTACTCAGGAAGAAACTTATGTGCATCCATCAGTTCAGGATTCACAGTACCATCAAATACAGCTTGCAGAGCTGGTGCTGTGAAATGCCACAGGGAAGATAATGAAGTTCCACCCCCACCCCCTGCCATCTTCTTCTAACTTTTTTAATCTATTGGTTTAAAGAACAAATTAATACAGAACAAAATTTAAAATAATGCCTCCAAGTGTTGCAACTAAAATGCCTTTACTTCCCAGTAAAATCATTTAAATCTAATATATATAAAAATGCAGCTCAGTCCACTGAATAAGCATCTGAAGTTATTCTCTATTCTGTGGAGAAAATTACCTGGTTGAACTCTAGAACTACATTTTTAATGTAATTTTTCTGACAGGAAAACACATAATTGCATTTCAAATACACACAATTCTAATACTCCAGACTATTTCGATTCTACAAAATTTAAGCGTAATAATTCCTTTTGTTTTCACCAGATGGCATCAACTATCCATAAACTGCAGCCTTGGGCGTTTCTTTACCAAATAACAAAAGAAGGATGCTTTTGTATTAATATAACCACCAGTGCACTAGGAAAAAGACAGTTTTCTGCTTAATGAAATGGTCAATGCAGGTAATAATGCTAGTTACCTGAAGTGCCTTAAATCTTCACAGAAACCCATGCTGTAAAGATGCATTAAGGTAACAGGAGTAGCCTGAACCTACTCCATGTAGGCATCTTTTAAGCATTCCTCAATCACCCTAAAAAATGTTAATGTTCTAAATTCTTCAGAGAAAACTATAACCTCCCACCCACAATCAACTTACCTCCAGAGGAGAGAAGTCATGATTGACAAGAAATGAGAGTCCACCAACAGGAACTATCAGAAACTCCACTCTGAATGTGTCATGATTTCCATCATAGGTGGCCTTAAATTTCATGTAGATCAGATACACAGTGGCATACGAGCAAGCAATGTAGATAAGCTAAAGAGCAAGGAAAGAAAAAACAAAACAATCCACGGAGGTTCTAGGATTAGATCAAATAAAGATATTCCCAGGCACTAAGAGGACTAAACACTGTCTTTCTTCTTTGGTTTGTTGTACTGCTTGTTTACATGCTTTTGCAGTTCCAGGCTATGTGGTGGTATTTAACTTTTCTCAGCAGAGTAATAATTCAAAACCAATGATTCTGGGTTCTACTGATGTTGTTGCTTTAAAATCATCAGCTTGCCTCTGGCTGAAGTGACTGTCCAAAGCTTCTTTAAAGACCCTTTCCTGAGTAGACAGAACTAAGGAACTGACTGGAGAAGGAATACCCCTCCTACTACTGCAGGGGAAGCACTGCGCAAACCTTTATGTTAAAAATATGCATGTGCATACATGCAATAATGATAAAAGGGGTCTTGTGACCCCTATTCAAAAAGCTGGGGAGTGGTGTGGCTCCTGTGTGGCAATAAAAAACCCATTCAGCAAGCCACATTTAGATTCTGGCATTTAATATATCACAAATTAGCTGATTTGATCTAGACCTTTAAACATCTCTAAAATCTGAAGAGGGGAAAGTGGACACTGTTCTCCACCAAACAGCAGGCCACAAAACCTGCAACACAGACTGCTAGAAGCATCAAACCAGAATTCAGTTTCCGTTTCAGCTGTTGTCTGATGTTATTTTTAACTGTTACGGTACAGCAGACTTCATAGTTATTCTCCACAGAACAGGCAAATAGCCTTATTTTACAGATGAGAAAATGTGATCAGAGAAAATACATGGCTTTCTGAAGGTCAAGCTGTCATCATCAGGACAGAGCTCACATTGTCCTGGAGACAATACAGTACAGTAGACGAGACAAACAGTTTAGTTCCTGCCTCTGTTTCATCACAAAGATCAAATACTCCAAACCATTCATCACATTAAATATAGGTTCTTTACAAGTGAAAAATAAAAGAATAAAACCTCCTCAGTATGTAGATGCTACTGATCTCTTAAAGCACTGCTCACAGATATAGAATGCTACATTAAGAAACTCAGAATCCAATGACTCGACTATGCTAGCACCCTGGCTGACTGGAGATAAAGAACCATAGAACAGGAAATCAGATGCAGGGAACCCCTACTATAGATGTAAACTAATCATAATTGATAGGGGCAGAAACGACACTAATAAAGCTTGAATGAACCCCAACTTTTTTACTGAAGAGAGCTCTTCACAAGAATTATAGCGTGGTTTGGGACTCTCAAAAAGTTCTCATTTGTAAAGATACCATAACAAAAGAGTGGTAGGAAAAGGAGTGCAGAGTGCACCAGCAAAAATGTATCCATTCAGATACAGATACCTTGAAAAAGAAACTGTAACATGCAGACCACTATAAATCACAAAACTTAGTTTGCAGGCCATTAAAAAGGTCAGGGCTAACCAGGTTATTTCTGTATATGTTCCTGGAACAAATCACAGCCAGACAAATACAGCAAGTTGGCACCTGTAGTTCAACATTTCTCAAAAAAAAAACTGAATAAAATCCTACAGAAACTAACAAATTTTCTTGCTGCAAATTACAGCATTTTCCTCAAATTAGAAAGTACATCTGGGTGTTCTCTGGGTAAACCTATTTGTGTAGTAGTTTCTGTTTTCTACAACTGTGTAATGTTATATATTCCTAAATATATGTGAATAGAACAAGAAGCTGCATTGGGACACTCAAGCAGCTTTGTTTTGGCACTACAATAATGGGCTAAAAACTACCAGTCTCTAAACAGAGATCTTTGAAATTGTAATAGAGGCTTCCATTTTGCCAGTTAATGCTGGATTTGAACAGAGGACCACTCTTTCATTACTGGAAAGACTCAGTTTAGCATGAAGTCAAGTACCACAAGTATAAGTTCCCATATTCATTCCTTTTCTGGATAGGAGGGCTGCAGAAAAAAAGACATGGTCATGACCCTGAATCACAACCAGTAAATAAACTGCAAAAACTCCAGGCTGTTCCTTTGGTGCATCCAACACGTTTTCAATATTCTCAGATTATTGGGGAAATATGTTTGTGTTTTAAGATAATTAATCCACAGTTCTTCGTCTAAACTGTTAATATTAAAACTTAAGCATACCTGTTTAACTTGTTAGAAGACAACAGCATGTTTAAGATCTAAAAGTTTATTATACAGCATTATTCCCCTAATTCTTCAGTACATTTTGCATTATTGAGTATCTTGTCTTTGCTCTTTGCAAAGTATGCTATGCTCTGAACTAAACTGGGGGAACATCAGAAAAATCCAAGAGTAAGGGAACCAGATTAAAGAGGTGTCTGCTCTGGTGCCACAAACACACCAGTCTGTACTGGTGCCACAAACACACTACACCCTCCCAGTCAATGGATTTACTATCTTGTACTCAGCATCAGAAATTGCAGGAATAAATAAAACCAGCTGTGGGCTCGCTAACATTCAGTGGGCAAGTGAACAGGGTATAATCTGATGGAAGCTACATTCCTAAAAGTGTGCTCCTGACAACTTTTGATCAGCCTCTGACCAGACACTAGCTGCAATTTTGGCAATGCACCTGCAATACCAATTCACCTTGTAGTGGATAAAAAGAGATTTACTTAATCTCTAACATCTCAATTGAGAAATAAAATTTATTTGAACCCTTCTTCCAGAAGTTTTTATGTTCAATAGCAGAAATGGCATTTGTTCAAAATGTCACAGTCCCTATACAAACAGTCTTTTTCTCTACACTACATGCAATTTTAAAAGTAGAGGTTTTACTCTGTCTTCCACGCTCTTTATCCCAAGCCCATCTAGAACTTACTCTGTAATAACTATGCAGTGGGCCATTTAAAAAGTCTGTTATTTGTGAAATTATGCAGTTTGCATGCAACATTACTAGCTTTTCTAACTCTTCAGTATACTCTACCTTCATAGATGTGTTATACAATGAAATGAATGAAGTGAAGAGGTCCAGATAACGGGTAGTGAAGACCAGTGCAAACAGAAGCTGGCTTTTCCCAGAAATACCTAAAGTGATAAAGGAAATAATTAATTATTCAAAGAGTGATGATGTGCTTCAAAACAGTTGATGCCCAGGATGAGAAAGGCTACATCTTTTATTTCTAAGCACGTTGATTACAAAATTAGGATAAAATCCAGGCTTCCAAGCTGTAGAAATGGAACTGTTAAGTTCTTATCTCTTGGTAGTGTGAATGTAAGTTACCTTGTACTGAAAGAGGTGCTAGCACTACACAAGCTTTAGAATTTACAGCAGATAGCTTGCAGGTAATATTTCTGGAGATTACACTACCTGTTCTGCATTATCACTGGGCACTATGCATCAAGGCTGCAGTAGCTTGCAATTCTCAGAGTACTGTCACACGCCTCAGTACATTCCCTAGATGCTGAATAGCTGGAAATATACAAGAGCAACACATACTACAGATGCAGTGATAATCAGAAAATATGCTAGTGCCAATTACAAATAAATCTATTTTAATACATAAGGCAATTCAATTCAGGAACTTAGCTGACCACACAGTGGGGTAAAAAATACTATCAAACCCAGATGTTACTATGTACTATTACAAAATAAAAAATGAGTAGTGAGCTAAAATGACAGACACCTACATTGCATCTCCAAAGCAACTTTTGATTTTAAGCAAAGGCCCACAAGTCAAAACATCTGTTTGTACTTAACTTCAGCCATTACAGCAGTTAGAAGCATAAAAGCTTTGCACAACCAGTCACTACTAAAAGCAGCTGAAAACCCAGGCAAAGCATCGATCCATAACACTGCTATGGTGGTGCCTCACAGCAGGGGGACAAAAAAACCTAGCCTGTGCCTCTATCTTGTTACCCCAATTATTCTTGGTTTCAATCATCCAGGATGAAAATATTTGAATCTGTTCAGCTAGGCATGCAGATATTGTTCAAAAAACAAGAGGGGAAAATATTCTGTGAGAGAGGGTTATGATGCAAGGCTGAAAATCCTTGTCCCTTTACACAGGTATTTCTGAGATTGGCTTTTATTAACAGTGTCAAAAACAACTAGCAAAAAGGCTCTCTGCCATGGTTATTGAACTCCTTTTTCACCCCAGCTTAAGAAACACTGAATAAGCTGCCCAGAGGAAGGGTCTTCATGTTTATACATAAAGTACAGGAATGGCTGAAGCAAAAACAATTAAAAAGAGGGTTTTTTTGCAATTTTCATATGTGAACTGTCTACACGGTGAGCCTAATGTACTACCTCCAGAACCACGCAACTGCCCTCAAGCAGCTGAAGTACAAGAAACAGCAACTGCCTCAGAACCTCTAGTTATAGACTAAAATTGTCAAACAGAAGTATTAAATAAAACCAACAAAACACCCACAAACAAACCACTTCCCAACGTTTAAAAAAAAATAAAAATTAAAACCCAAAGACATTTCTAGAACCAGAACTACCAGCAAAGACAGCTGAAGCAGCACTCCCCACTGCATCCCAGCTGTGCTTGCAGCTCCTGACAGTGCCCCGCTCTCACGCCAATAAAACCTCTCAGCAAGGAACGAATGCTGTCCTAAGGCCAAAACCTACAGGACAAAGAAATCTGCCTGACAGATTACAGTACAGCATCACACATCAGCATATGGTTAAAATATATGTTAAATTACATATATTATAAATAAAAATTATATCGTTAAAATATATGTTATATACTTTAGCATGCTATTTTAGTAAGTAACAGAAAAAATATAAGATACATTAATTATTGATTATGGCTATAAATTTGGACCTGGATGTACTCTCATGTAAATAAATACACACAGGATACCTGACAAATTCCTCTAAGCCACTGCCAGCCTTGCCTCCCCACCAACCCAAAAGTTGTGGATTTTATTACAGTTTTCAGTATTTTCACTGAACTTTCAAAAGTTCCTGAAACACATCCTCAAGCCAAGTTTCAACTAATTTTAAAGTTAAGAGGGCTAGACTAGGAGAGGTTCAAAGTTTAAACCAAAGACCTACGAAGAGACAGGCAAACTGGGAGAAAGTAACATCTATACCACTAGCAAAAAACAGGGGGAGGGAACAAGTAAACACTCTGCTTTATGAAATTTATGGAACTTTAAGCATTACATTAGCATACGCGCCACAGCGCTGACTTTGGCTGATGGCTGGCAACTGCATTACACAGAGACCACGCTGCTGTTATTCTCATCCTTCTCCCTTTCCTTTTACTCCCACAAACATAGTCCTTGAGCTAAACACATTTTTATTTCTTCTTCTCAAGCTTACATGTTGAAAAGCCAAACCTCTCAGTTCCTACACATGGAAAAAACTCCTTCAACTTCAGCACCTTGGCTTGGCTAAAAGCAACAGCCTGAAACTTGAATTCAAAAGCTCAGCTGGTTTCCCCAGCCAGAGAGGACAGCAGAGCTGAAATTGTGCTACTTTCTCATCAACTTCATCTTGCTATTGTGAGTTAGGGAAAGAGCAACAGGCAGCAGCAGAGGCAATCAGTCAGGCTGGCTCACAGCCAGTACTGTGCACACTACTTACCAACTATGAACTGCATATCACAGTATGTGCATATCACATACTCAGTGTGCGTATCACAACCATAAAATACAGAAACAAAAGTTTTCCTAAGGAAAGTCAGTCCATACTTTGTCATGGAAACTCCACAGACTTTTTGAATAATAATTAAAAAAAAAAAGTAGCTTTGTTCAATATGAAGTCTGCATCAGCCACAGAACCACAACTTCTTTGGATCCAATAAAATACTAACATCGAGAATCCTGCAATTTCAATAAAAAAAAACCTTCATTTTTTTTTGTTGTTTTCTAAACACAAATTTATCAATTAGAAAGGCAAAATTTTCCTTCAAAGAGACAGAAGATTCCAAACCTATCTATAGCAGCATTTTTGGAGAAAATACAGACAAATTGGCAGCAGCCTATTCAAGGTACTACATAAAGTCTTCAACATAGCCTATGATCTTTGGCATATCACAAACAAAACTATGAGACAGCTACACTACTAAGCAAAAGCATTACATATTTACTATATATGCTACTGTTTGAGTATTCAGCACCTAATTTGACAGCCTTGCAACTTGCAGGTCACCTTTAACAACTGCTTTAACATTTGACAACTGACACTGAGAAAAGCAAATCAATTTTCAGGCAGTAATTCACACTGCAAACAACCTAATTTGACTTGGAATAGATCAGAAAATACAGCCTGAACATGACGATGTGTGAAAACACAAGATTCTTCAAGTCTCATGAATTTCCTAATTAGGACATGAAGTCAATAATGGAGTTACCTGCTACATTCTCCAAGGCTCCTAGTAATTACTTCTGAGCTGTTATTTGGAGTAGCAAACATTTTTCCAAATTCTAAATCTGGAAACAGAAATAAGCAGTCATGCAAAAAATTGTTTCCCTGCCAGCTCTGAAATCACGACTTGATTTGCTTTCCCCTTGTTCTCTTTTTAACATATTGACTAAATTAGTGGAAAAAAATAGTTAAGTTTGTCAAACACTGAAAACACAGATTGCTTCATATTGCAGATTTTTCTGGCCTCACCTATTTTCCTCGCTTAGAGGAGTTGCTTCTTAGGAAAGAAAATGAGGGCTGGTGTCTTCAGAAAACAGCAGGTTGCAGCAGAGGTACACAGGCTGTCTCCCTCTCATTTCCAGCTGCTTTTACAGGCCTCTGAGCTCCTCTTGGAACAAAGGCCTCAGACACAGATGCAACCAGAAGAGAGGAGTCAGCACCATGTGGTTTGCCAGCTCTTCACGGATCACAGCCTGCAGTTTAGCAATCAGTTGGAAGCCTTTATTTATGCTCTAAGCTTCCACTGCTTCAGAAGTGCACAGTTAAAGTAGCAGCTGGTTTGTCCATGTTTCCTTAGCCCCCAGAAACCATGAGGTATAAGTTTATTTCATTTATAAACTGTTCCAATATCCATGCAATGTAAAGGGATCACAGAAACCCCTCTAATAGGAGGCATTTAGCAGCTGCTCAACATTAACTGGTAACTAGGGTTTATGGTTGCATAAAAAAGTATTTTATGCAAATATATAGTTACGAAATTTTTATTGGTAGAAACCACAACTGACAAAAACCACTACAAGGAACAGGACGGAGACCTAAAAATAAAATCCCATTCTCCTTTGAGGTGCTCTTCTAGACAAACTTGTTAGGCCTCATAAGAATAACATGGATCTGGATTTACTATTAAAGACTCCAGCAGACACCAAAAAAACAATCCCAGACAAACACACCCATCTCTTTTTTTTTTTTTTTTTCAGGAAAACAAATGAATGAGATGTTTTCTACTGAAAGAGCCCATGCACGCACGTTTGTATTGATGGGCTCTGGCTAATTTGGCAAAGGGAGGAGTTCAGGCTGCTATGTAATAGAGGCCCATTTACTTTTATGTGTTGGAGAAAGCAGTCTGAAGAAAATGACTGGTCTGAATCTACTTTCTTATTAATAAATCCCTAGTAATAGAGACCCTCAATCACAGCTGACTTAAGGAAAACACCAGATCACTTTTAAAACAGAAAGATGGGACTATGTTACACTGTATGATACTGTGTAAATAAGCCCCTGTCCAAAGGTCACTTAATCTCATGGCCACTTAAGAATCTCTTAGCTAAAACCCTATTTGAAATTCAGCCTTTTACTAGAATTTCTCATTTCCGTTCTTTAGGCAGCAAGAGATACTTAGTTTTTAGATCACTAACTCTGTTGATTGTAATTTTGACTATATATCTCAAGTAAAGTGGAGGGCAAAGTTCCACAGAAGTTGAGGAAGGCCAGGTCCACTCCTGCCAGAGCCAGGCAGAAGCTCCACCAGAACTTGAGCCTGCAAAGTTCATTAAGAAGGAGCTCTCGCACTCCATAACCTCAGAAACAACAGTTCTGCACTACCACTGCAAAGCTGGAGCTCTTTTGCAACGTTAACAAAAATTTTTACTTTGTATTTAAAGCCAAAGCTATTCATTTACTATTTTTTCTTTTGCACTATCAAGTGATTAACAGAAAGTGACCCGACATGAAAATATACAGCACCTGTACTTCCTCTTACCTGTAGTGTAAATCTCTTTCACTTCCCCATTCTCAGTTCTCTCAGGTTGCAGCTTATACTAATTCTTCACGCTTTTAAGACTTTACAGATACATCTGTTCAGCAGTGTTAACTCTGTATTTGAACAGCATTTCACATCAATACATGGCAAACCGATTTCAAGAATAATCACTCTTACTAACGAAGGAGAAGCTCATTTCTTCAAAGCCAAGCTCACAGTCACACCCCAGTCCACTGCAAAAACGGCATGTTCAGGGTCGGTGACCTGACCCGCTTATCACACAGAGCACCGAAATATCCATTTTTAAATACAACTCAGAGTTTTCTGATTGAAACCACCTACGCTGCAGTCAGAACTGCCTGCAATTCCCTCCAACCACCGCACCGTACATACACTAGAAGCGAAAACCACATCACACGGACCTGGAGCAAGCAGGTACAGAACCCAGGAAGATGAACACGCGTTCCTCACCTGGGCGGGCTGGCGGAGGAGCCGCGGGAGGGGAGCTCACCCCCAACAACCAGCCCGGAGGGCGGCCGGGACCCAGCTCCCTCCCCGCCACACCTCTGCCGCTGCTGCCACGTCAGACCAGGCCGGGATCTCGACTGAGAGCCTGCTCCCTCCAGCTTGGAGCCTCTCTCCTAAAGCCTCCCGCTGCAGCCGGTGATACGAGCCAGAAAACACCCTAGAAGCCTTAAACAACCGCATGAATCCCAGTTTAACTCTCACCGCAGCGAGAGCTGGAAACAAAAGGGAAGAAGAGGGCGCGTTAGTCAGCAGCGAACGCAAACCAGTGCACGGAGGAAAGGGGAGAGGACGAGGAAAACTTCAGGATCTGCAAACTGCAAGTCAGCTACTCCCAACGCTGCACCAAAACCAGCCTTCACACACCGGAGCGGTGCTTAAAGCTGCCGAGCAAGCAGGCAGACGGAAGGCTGTGCACTGTCAGGAAAAGCAAGAAAATAAGCTCCGTCTCCCTTCGCTATAGCTGCCGGCGCGGGGAGGGGAGGCAGGCGGGCTGCCCGCCCCGCGGGGGATGCATTCCTCTTCCCTCCCCCCCAACCTGCCTCCCCATTCATTCGCTCGCCGCCGGGCAGTTACATAAGGAAGAAGCGACCCTCCCGGGCACAACCGAGATGGCGGTGCCCAGGGTTTAAAGTACAAATAACAGCAACCGCTAAACCTATAACGGCAGCGCAGCCCCACCAGTGCACCCCCACGCCGGAGGGGAGAATGCGGCTCTCCCTCTCTCCCCCCCGGCGGCCCACCCGTTTTCCTCACCCGTGGCTCGAAAGGGGGCCGGGTTAGGAGGGAGCTCGGTCAGGACGAGGGCTGAAGCCCCCTCCGCCCTGCGATCACTCCTTTTATCACCTGCCCTGGGAGCCGTCAGGAGGGAAACGCTCCCCCCCCCCCCCCCCCCCCCCCCGTTTTACCACAGCTACTTGCTAGGCAAGTAGGACAGGCGGGACTCGGCCCCCCACCGCCCCCAGCCCCTCCAGAGCCGTCCCTAAAGGGCGGCAGAGGCGATCGAAGCACACAGGCTCCCCCTCCGCCTCGGCGAGGCGGCTGCGATCGCACCCAGCCCCCAGCGAGGCTCCCTTCAGGCACCGCGGCCCGGAGCTGCGCTGCCCGGCCCGGCCCGCCCCGCGGCCTGCCGCACGCACCCGCGCAGGAGCGGCTCTTCCATATCTTGAGCAGCAGGATGATGATGGCCGCCAGGTGGGACAGATCCCCGGTGAGGCGGAAGATGTTCATGGCGGCGGCGGCAGAGGCGGCAGCGCAGCCCGGAGCCGGGGAGCGAAGATGGCGTGCTCAGCGGGCACCGAGCGACGTGGCCCGGGGACGTGGCCAGACAGCCGCCGCGCCCGGTGCACCCTGGGAAACGGGAGGGGCGGCCCCGGCGGCGGAGGGGCGGGGTCGTTCCCCACCGCGGTGCGGAGTGGTAGGGCTGGGGGCCGGCGCCGTCCCGCCCGACTGGGGCACGGACACGCAGGGTGCCGCTGACTTCCCGCAGACCCGTTCCCGGGGCTGCGAGGTAGCGGCCTGGCCCGGCGTCTGCGCGGCCTGTCTCCCTGTCGGTCTCGAGTCCTTGCTGCAGGTCATAGAATCAGCGAGGTTGGCAAAGGCGGTTAGGATCATCACGTCCAACTGTTCCCCAGCACTGCCAAGTCTACTCCTAAACCGTGTCAGCGCCTTATCTACACGATTTGTGAACTCTTCCAAAGAGACAGTGATTCCACCACTGCCCTGGGCAGCCTGTTCCAATGCCTAATCATCCTTTTGGTGAAGAAATTGTTCCTAATATCCAGTCTTAACCTGCCCTGGTGCAACGTTGAGGCTGTTTCCTCTTATCCCATTGCTTGTTACTTGGGAGAAGAGTAACAATGACCCCACCTCACTACAACCTCCTTTCAGGTAGCTGTAGAGAGCTGTAAGATTGTCCCTGAGCCTTCTTGAGACTAAACACCAGCTCCCTCAGTCGTTCCACATCAGATTTGTGCTCCACACCCTCTACCAGCTTCGCTGCTCTTTTCTGGACCCGTTCCAGTATCGTATGTCATCTCATGAGTCCTGCATGGAGCAGGGAGTGGGCCTCGGCCTCTTTTTTACCTCCAACTCCTTAGAAGTCCGTTTAGGTGAATGAACTGGAGCTGCTTTGTTAACTGGCAGTGAGCAGAGTGCATCCCTGGTCGGGAGCAGCTCCTGCTCCAGTGGCAGCTCCTGGCTCTGGCAGGGACCTGTCAGTGAATGGGGAGAAAGGGCTGCATAACCTAGCTGGTATTTAACAGTTGTCATGTTTGGTGACAACGAGCTATTGACTTGATTCGTGGTTAGCAGCCCACGAGAGTATGCACATCGTCCATGGGATAACATAGCCATTATTCTCATCATTGTCCAGCATGCAGCTCAAAGAGGTATCTGCTCTTGAGCAGCATTCCAGTAACTCCCAGTGTTCTTTTGGAAAAAAAAAAAAACAAACCAACAAACCCAAAACAAACAATCAAACCAGCAACAAAGCAAGCTGGGAATAGCCCTACAGGAACAGGATTTCCAGTGACTGTGGAAAACAGGTAAGAGGTGATCCCAGCTGAACAGTGGTGCTTTGCTTTTTTATAGCATTTCAGAAAGGGTAAGTTATTTCTTAAAAATGTCTTGGTTTACACTATTTCATGCCCTGGTTGAGGAAATAGCATAAGGAATTTACTGTTAGAGAACAATGAGTACAGAACCATGTACAGAGAATTTCCCACAGCAGAAAGTTATGTATTTGTTTGAAGATTTATGAAAAGGATCCTAACTGCAATCTGTCATTTTCTTGTCTAAAATGTAGCATAAACACTGACATTTTTAAAGGGCTCCCTGAAAGAAAAGAGAAGTGATTAGTACCCTCTGCTTGATTTTATCTTTTTTTTAATAAGATAAACTTTTGTCACAGTATGACAAAAGCAAACTTACTTATTTTCAGATATTAGGAATCAAAGCCTGTCCTCTTAAATCACTGTGTTTGCAAACTGTATGTGTAAGTACAGCAATACAACTCCTTGGAATCATAGAATTGTTAGGGTTGGAAAGGACCTTAAGATCATCCAGTTCCAACCCCCCTGCTATGGCCAGGGACACCTCACGCTAAATCATATCACCCAAAGCCTCGTCCAACCTGGCCTTGAACGCTGCCAGGGATGGAGCATTCACAACCTCCCTGGGCAACCCATTCCAGTGCTCTACCACCCTAACAGGAAAGAATTTCCTCCTTATATCCTATCTAAACTTCCCCTGTTTAAGTTTTAACCCATTACCCCTTGTCCTGTCACTACAGTCCCTAATGAAGAGTCCCTCTCCAGCATCCCTATAGGCCCCCTTCAGATACTGGAAGGCTACTATGAGGTCTCCACGCAGCCTTCTCTTCTCCAGGCTGAACAGCCCCAAGTGCCTCAGCCTGTCTTCATATGGGAGGTGCTCCAGTCCCCTGATCATCCTCATGGCCCTCCTCTGGACTTGTTCCAACAGTTCCATGTCCTTTTTATGTTGAGGACACCAGAACTGCACACAATGCTCCAGGTGAGGTCTCACAAGAGCAGAATAGGGGGGCAGGATCACCTCCTTCGACCTGCTGGTCACGCTCCTTTTGATGCAGCCCAGGATACAGTTGGCTTTCTGGGCTGCAAGCGCACACTGAAGCCGGCTCATGTTCATTTTCTCATCAACCAACACCCCCAAGTCCTTTCTCCGCAGGGCTGCTCTGAATCTCTTCTCTGCTCAACCTGTAGCTGTGCCTGGGATTGCTCCAACACATAGTATCTCTTATCTTACACTTACAATGCCTTAAGATGCTACATGTCATATTCAGAAAGTTTAATAAATTTGCACTCTAATTACTACTTACTTTAAACAGATACTAAATAACTTTCACCATCAGCTAATGTGTGATGTAGTTACCAGTAAAGCTGCCTATTTGAGGATGCACGTTAGGAATCCAAATTCAGTGCTTGGAGAATTTGTACTGAAGATGATAGTGTTTGACAGAACTCCCCAGGTCCGTGGTACAGACTGCAACAGTGGGGAGGAAGTGCAAATATGTAGTACAACCTCTGTAACTGCACTACTGTGGCTTCCATTGCTATACCCAAGTGAAACAGAAAGGTCTGAAACCGTAGTTTATGTCTTAAGAGTACTGGCTGAACTAGCCAGAGTAGCTGTTTGACACAGGCTTGACTGAAATATGTACATTTAATATGTTAGATGTAAACACTTCTAAAAGGATGAATGCTGAAATAAAAGTAGCTAACAAAAACACTGACAGATGCATATCTGGACTCTGTTTTAATATATACATTAAAGGCAGAGAGCTGACATCCTTTCTCTCTCACCTCCTCTCTCAGTTCATGCAGGATTTATTCAAACTTGTGATCTAAGTTGTTTTCTGACATCTGATTACATATTGAAACATGGCAGGTCCCAGCTACAGATGACCTAGGGCAGCTTTAGCTTGCAGATCAAACCAGCACATGATTTTAACTATAGCCATGGCTATTCTTTGCTAAATCAATATAGTTCTTGTCTATACAACAGTTAAAAATTATCAGGGAAAGGAGTATCAGAAAGTGTTATCCTGCTGTATTTCTGACAGTATTTTACATTATTTTTGTATTTCTCCTCTATGAATTTACTCCTGGTCTCTCTTCTTTTCTCCATGTTCTCCAAAGAGACCACAGATACTAAGTGAGATGCTGTTAAAAATTTAAAATATTTTAATTAATACCAGCTAAAACATTAGATGGTAAATGTTATACTGTTGCTAGCAAAGCAAGAAATCCAGCAATCATAATTCCTTCTTTTAATACTCCAATGTATAGTCACTTGGATTGTAAGCTTTGAACATGCCTTGTTCTCCTGCGTCATAAGGGCAAGAAAAGCCTCTTATTAATCTGGATTGGAAAAGCAGACTGATGCTGAAAAGAAAGCGGCAGGAAGAGACAGATGGACATTGGCTGCTTGCTACTCACTGAATGAAAAATGTAATACATTTCTAGACTACCTATTTGTGGGTACAATTAAATAACCAGATGTGAATTATGCTAAAATAGCCTACAGTAAAAAAATGCTACAGGTCCTGATCCCAAACAAGATCAGGTGGGGTGTACACGTTAGTCTCTTAATTTCTGTGTTTAGGGTCTGAGTAGGTAGGTGTGAAAATGAAGTCCAATAATGAATCAGATACTTTACTAAAATATGAAGTTCTGGATACCTGTATGGTACACAGATTTAGTCTGTTCTCTGAAAAGCTTGTCACTTACCTACACTTCTAAAAGCATGCTCTATAATGCACAAAATACTGTTTCTCAGGAGATGTTCTGGAGTACTGATAAAAGAAATCTAACTTACATGGGAGTTTGTGTTCATTCTTCATAGACCAGCCTTTTCTACCCAGTTTTCCTCCTGCCTTACTGGAAAGGGAAGTCAGGTTCCTCATCTGAGCAGCAGTGGAGTAAGCAGTGCACAAGGCTTTCCCACATCATATGACACAGGAAAGAATATTTCACTAACCAGGACTATAAGGGAGTAAAATAAGGTTCTTAGCCCTCCTTAGGCCCATGCCTACAGATCTTGTTTAAAAAAAACCTAACCAGCAAATAAACAACAAACCCCCACACTTATCAAAAACATTTTCACTGAGATAAAGAGATCACATTGCTTGAACCTGTGTACCAGCTGAGAATATCAGCCTTTTTGGATGGGGGGAGAGAGGAAAAGATTATTTGAAGTTTTCTTTCTACTTCTGTCCAAGGAAGACGGTCTATCACAAGGGAACAAGGTACCACAGTTTAATGAGGTATCGCTCCTCAATTTACATGCTGTAATTGAAGCAGTGTGCGGTTTCTATAACCACAACACAGTATGAGCCAGAACACCAGCAAGTGCACTACAGCCAATGCTATGGGATTACCTGCTCATGTGACAAATTCCAGTTGACTATTCAATTCCTTACTTATTTTTGAGAGTCATCAGGGTTAGTCAGACCTCTCCCAATACCCCAGGTGCATTTCTCCCACTATCCCTGGCAGGCGTGTCTCACCTCTGCTTCCACATGGGCAAACAATAGGACTGTAACAAGGTCCTAGTCTATACGACAGGGCTGCAAACTGTGTTAGGGGAAAATAAATCAGGTGGTGGTGACCCTAAAACAGGTGCAGCAGTCAAGTGATAAGCTAAATCTGCTATAATGCAGTACACAGTTGCCCCTGGAATATTTGAGCAGTTTATGCAGAGGCATAAGGGGCTTCTTAAAATTGAAAAAGGATGCCTTTTTTTTTTAAAGCAGTATCTTTAGAGCCTGACACTGATAGGAGTTGGTTAGCTCTGATGTGACAGATTGAGATCACTGG